GTGTACCCAGTAGTGACGCTGACGTGTGCTAGATAGTGACGTGTACCAAATAGTAACGTTGACGTGTGCTAGATAGTGACGTGTACCCAGTAGTGACGTTGACGTGTGCTAGTGACGTGTACCCAGTAGTGACGCTGACATGTACCAGATAGTGATGCTAACATGTACCAGATAGTGATGCTGACCTGTGCCAGATAGTGGTACTGATGTGTACCAGATAGTGACGTGTACCAGATAGTGATGCTGACGTGTACCAGATAGTGACATGTACCAGATAGTGACGCTGATGTGTACCAGATAGTGGTGCTGATGTACCAAATAGTGACATGTACCAGATCGTGACGCTGACGTGTACCAGATCATGACGCTGATGTTTACCAGACCTTGACGCTGACATGTGCCAGATAATGATGCTGATGTGTACCAGATAATGACACGTACCAGATAGTGACACTGATGTGTAGCAGATAATGATGCTGACGTGTACCAGATAGCGATGCTGAAATGTACCAGATGGCGGTGCTGACGTGTACCAGATAGCGGTGCTGACGTGTACCAGATGGCGGTGCTGACGTGTACCAGATAGTGGTGCTGACGTGTACCAGATAGTGGTGCTGACGTGTACCAGATAGTGACGCTGACGTGTGCCAGCTCCAGGCCCTGTTCTCATCACATTCAAGTATTAGCTCATTTAATCTGCAGAACATCTTGAGTTAGGGCCAATACTACCCCATGGTACTGACAAGGAAACGGGGCCCAAAGCTGTCAGTGACATCCTGAGGCCCCGCAGCTGTGAAGTGGCTCTGAGGCACTTGTTCCAGGCCAGGCTGCAGTGGCTCCAGCCCTGGCCAGCAGGCCTGACCCTCCACAGGACCCCAGAATGTTTCAGGAAAGGGGAAATCCCTCCCGGCCTTTGTCTTGGCTTCCAGGCCATCTGCCTGGTCCGGCTGAGGACAGACGCAAGGCTCTCACAGCAGACCCCAGGGAGGGGAGTGTCTGCAGGGCTAGGGCCAGGGTGCTCCACATGGGCTCGCACCCCAGCCCTGTGTGCAGCAAGAGCCTGGGGCCGTGAGCCCCAGCGTGCACCTGTCACGCTCCTCAGTTATCTGCCCTGGGCCCTGTGCTGTGCTTGTTCTGACGTCTCCATTTCTTCTGTGTGTGTATGTATGTGTCCTGGCTGCCTCCACCGTTAGCGTTTCGTTGGGAAATGACACTAGGTACAGCTCACTTTTCTCTTCTGCCCTCGCTTGGTCTGCCCTCTTCTGCTTTTCCGAGTTCCTTTCTCCTCAGCGTCTGCCTGCTTCTCTGCCCTTTCTCTGACTGCCCGCTGTCCTCACTCTCCCGGGATCGCTCCTTGGTGACGTGTGTCTGACAGTGGTCTTCCCTGGTTCCCCTGCTTCCTCCTACATCCCCCATCTGTGAGCTCCATGCCCTGTGTCCAGACCATGCTGTGCAGTAGACAGGGCAGCCTGGCACCACCTGTGCCCCACTGAGGCCTCGGGAGGGCCCGGCCGCCTTGGAACCTGCGTGGCCACCCAGCAGTGTGTGTCGATGTCTCTGAACTGTGTCCTCGAGAGGATGCTTGGAGGGGAGCTGGGCGAGGCTGGGCAGATGGGGGGATGGGGCAGCTGAGGGTGCAGCCCAGAGTCTGCAGAGCGGCCACACTCTGGATTCAGGCAAATTGCCTGCCTTGGGTATGACCAGTCCTCCCTGTGGGCACCAGGCCTGAGGAAGGAGCTCAGTTGCTCTGCCATCCAGAGGGCTGAAAGCAGGGACTATCACATGACAGAAAACCCTGCTCTGGAGCAGAGGGCACCCAAGGTGTTTGCAGAACGCAGTTCAACCCCATGGAGATGTAAAATCCCAGGGCCCTGGGGTTGGCCCTGAGCCACCCTGGGACGGAGTTTGCGGGTGGCCGGCTCAGGCTGTGCCCACTGTAACTCCGGGTTGGAGACGAGGGACACAGCGTGGCCGCAGCTGTCCCCACGTGCTACAGGGGGCCGCCCTGCCTCCGAACCAAGCATCCTCCCCCGGGCCGTCCTCTGCCTGATGGACCAAGGGTGAGTCCATTGTCGGAGGAAATGGACCATGGAGGGTCTGGCAAACCTGGGTAGGTCCCCTTCAGGTCCAGGGAGAGATGGCGGTGCCTCCTTACTCAGACCGAAGCTGGGGTGGGTCTGGCGCAGGCTCTGCCCTCTGTGTCCCTGCCTCTGCCCTTCCCCTCCTCCCTGCAGAGGCCTGTCCTCTCACCCTCCCTTCTCCTTTTCCTTGTTCCCACCATCCCAGCTCCCTGTCCTGCCTCCCTCTCTGCCCTTCTTGTTCTCATTCCCCGCCACCTCCTTTCCTTCCAGCCTCAGCGTGACAGCTGGGGCACCATCCGTGGCAGAGCTGGGAAAACGCTGGGCCCACCCCCATTGGGGCTTCCAAGAGTCCCCACTCTCTGGGTCCTGAGTAAGGAGGGGCCCGTCCTTCCTGGCACCACCGCCCGGGCTTCCAGTCTGTGCCTCCAGCCGCACCTTGCGGCTGCCCCACGTCTGTCGCTCTGTCTGCATGTCCCCGGCCTGGCTGAGAGCAGCCCCCTGCCATCAACTTCTCCTTGGTCTCTGCTTCCTTCCAGGACCTTTTACCAGTTTGAGGCTGCGTGGGACAGCTCCATGCACAACTCTCTCCTGCTGAACCGGGTCACTCCTTATCGAGAGAAAATCTACATGACACTCTCTGCTTACATTGAGGCAAGGCACCCATGCCAGGGCACGCCACCAAGACCACCCAGTCCCCAAAGCTCAAGGTTCTTGGGAGCTCTGGACAACCCCAGATGACCTAGACGCTTTTCAGAGGACTTCTCTCTATGTTAAATCCATGTGCCTTTATTTTAAACTGGACTACAAGGTTGAATACATAAATCCATGTGCTTTTTTTTTTTTCTTTTTTTTTTTTTTAAGACAGAGTCTCGCTCTTGTCACCCAGGCTAGAGTGCAATGGCACAGTCTCGACTCACTGCAACCTCTGCCTCCCAGGTTCAAACAATTCTCCTACCTCAGCCTCCCAAGCAGCTGAGATTACAGGCGCCCGACACCACGCCCTAATTTTTGTATTTTTAGTAGAGATAGGGTTTTGCCGTGTTGCCCAGGCTGGTCTTGAACTCCTGGTCTCAGGCGATCCGCCTGCCTTGGCCTCCCGGAGTGCTGGGATTCCAGGCGTGGGCCATCACGCCCGGCCTCCATGTGCTTCCAACAGCAGTTAAGGCACCCTGCTAAGTGTGTGGGTGTGGTCCTTGGGAGGCAGGCTGGCTGCAGCACCACCAGACGCGTGTCTACGTTCCAGGCAGCACAAAAACAAGCGTCCCACCCTCCCCGCCCCTCCCCCGCCGCCAGGGTATACAGTCCGCTGGCCATGGCCAGACCCGGGCTGTGCCTCCCTTCCAAGTGCAAGAGTCCACTGGAAGCGTGGGTGTTGCTTGCTGGTGGAGCAGTGAGGGAGAGGGAAGGTGGGAGCCATGGCGGGGCATCTGCAAGGACGTCCCCTCCCCTTAGTTACGGCCAAATTATCCCAGCATCGCATGGGGACCATGTGCCCATCTCACGGGAAGGTGCTGAGGTTGTGCTGGGGAGATGCTGGCAGAGCTCTTCCCAGCGAGTCCTTGGGACGCCTCAGCCATGCACAGCAGCGGCCCCCACTTCAGGAAGACAAGGGGCCAGCTGTTTAGCAGTCAGAATGTCGGCCACCAGGAATTCATTTTCTGTGGCATTTGAGTTGAAATGCACACGCTCAAACAAGATCTGGTTTGATCCTCACAGACGTTCCGGGGTTGGGAGGGTGTCGCCCCAATTCCACGGTGAGGCAGCTGAGGCCCGAGCGGTGAGCCTGTGTCTGGGACCCTCGGGGTCTCCACACGTGGAGACTCGCCCCTCAGGCTGCCCAGGGGTGGACGGGGCTGTGGCTGTCTGTCCCCAGCAGGGTTTGGCTTCAGGCCAGGAGCAGACAGTTTCTCCCACCTGGGTCCAAGCCACACCTGAGGCCCTGGGAAGGCCCTGGGGCTGCCAGTCAGTGCTGGGCCAGCTGGGAGGAGGCTGGACGGGCACCTGGGCACCTGAGGTGACCTGTGCCTGAGCCCGGCCCTGCCTGTCTCAGATGGAGAACTGCACCCAGCCAGCCGTCATCACTAAGGACTTCTGCATGGTCTTCTATTCCCGCGATGCCAAGCTGCCCGCCTCGCGCTCCATCCGAAACCTCTTCGGCAGTGGGAGCCTTCGGGCCTCGGAAAGGTAAGCCCCCGGTGAGGCCGCCTGGACTGCCGCCCTGGTCGCCGTGCGGGCTAGGTTGGGCTCTGCCTGACAGCAGTCCTCGGGCCACCTGGCAGCTCACACTGTGGGAGGCCCGGCCACACTCCCAGCTGGCTCCCTGCGCTGGGTCCCCTCCCGCTCATCCCTGATGGAGGCTCTGTGAGGCCACGGTGCCTGCAGGGGACAGTGATACCACAATGAGGGGCGTGAGGGGGCCTGGGCCAGCCTCCAGGGGCGGAGGAGGGGGCCTGGGGTGCCCACCTGGGACCCCCTGCGGGTGGTCCTGGGGCCACACCGCGCCTCCCTGCCAGTGACCTTCTTCCCTGGGGAACGTGGGAACCCGTGCTGTGCAAGTGCTCACCAGGCAGTGAAGGATGAGCTGGATAAATGTGGGAGGGCTGGAAGGGGCTCCGGTGCTGGGCGGCTCTCCTCGGAGGCTGGTGGCACCTGGGGGAGCCAGACACCAAACACCAGGACCAGCTGTCCTTGTGCACGGACGACAGCCCCGCATTCTCGGGGGCAGTGGGGGGAGAATGAGCTGGAATGTCAAGGCCCTGGCTGCCGGGCTGCTGAGGATGCTGGGTACCCGTGGCCGCCTTCAGTGGGTGCCCCTGTGGTCTGCCATGTGGACTTGGTGTTCAGGTTCACCCTGCGCTCTGCTGGGAGGAAAGAGCTTGGGGGTCAGGACTTACTGTCCTCGAGGGCTGGCTGTGGTCAGTCTGGAGGTCACTTGGTCGTTGTGGGAGGCCACTGACCTGTCTCTGTGAGAGGGTGGCTGAAGCGCCCTCGGAATCTGTCCTGGGCATGGTGGCGCTGCTCTTTCTTTGCGGGGCTCTCGACACCCTGCAGGGACTGGAGATGCTGGATGCCGGGGATTTGGGGATGGAGGTGCTCGTGCTGCCTGTGTCTCTCCTGGGCTCGGACAAAGCGGAGGCTACGCTGGGGGCCTGGCCTCAGGTCACAGCCCCAGGGGCACCTGAGCAAGACCAGCCAACGCATCTTTTCTGTGGGGGCCGGAGGGGGTCTGGGATGAGGACTCTGAACAGGGGCTGCAGCTCAGGGACCTTGACGCCTACCACTCCAGCCCTGTCCAATGTGTGTTTGATGGTGGGGACGGTCGGCAGCCAGGTTGGCTGTGTGTCCCCATTGTGGGGCCTGGTGACCACGCGTTGCTCCCTCTGCTCCCTGCAGTAACCGTGTGACCGGCGTGTACGAGCTCAGCCTATGTCATGTGGCGGACGCAGGCAGCCCAGGTGGGTGTCCATCCTGCTCTCTCTGGGTGGGTTCCTGGCCTGCTTCACCTCCGCCCACTTGGGGTGACCACAGGCTAAGCTGCCCTTTGCAGGGGTCCCTCACCTAGAGAACACAAGCACTCACTCTGTGGGTTCTGGAGTTCTGACGGGGGAGGAGAGTGAGGGAGGACAGTCAGGCCAGCTGGCTTCCTCAGGTGCCCAGGACACAGCTGCCAGGGTTGTGGGACGCCAGGCCAGATGACCACCTGTAGAGGAGGCCTGCATGGCTCTTTGGGCCCCAGGGTGGACCCAGGACCGGGGGAAGCTGATCTTCACCCCAGTGGAGAGGCAGCTTCAGAGTGGGGCGGGCTCTGGGGTGGGCGGGAGGAACTGCCACCTGTCAGGTAGGGATGGAGCATCTGCGTCCCCTGTCTAGGAATGCAGCGCCGACGCCGGCGAGTCCTGGACACGTCCGTGGCCTACGTCCGGGGCGAGGAGAACCTGGCGGGCTGGAGGCCCCGGAGTGACAGTCTCATCCTGGACCACCAGTGGGAGCTGGAGAAGCTGAGCCTCCTGCAGGAGGTGAGGCAGCCTCGGAGGAGGAGGCCCGCACGGCCGTGTCCACGTGGCTCTGTCTGCAGAGCAAAAGCTGGAGAGGGACCCATGCCTGGTACCCACTGTGGGGAGCACAGCAGTCAGGAGTCACAGCCACCTGCAGGAGAAGCCTGTGACACCCCAGCTGCTCACCCTGGGGCTGGGTGGCACACGACAGAAACATGGCCGGGGCAGCATGGAGCCATGTTCTGGAGTTAGCCAGGGAAGACTATCAGGCTTGCAGACAGAGGCCAGGAAGGGCCAGAAAGAAAGTCGGGGTGGGGGGCGGTGCTGCCTTCCGCAGATTTAATCAGGGACACCGACATGCGGCATCTTGGGGCTGCCTCGGCCGAGTGTGCATGTGACGCGCGATGCCTGAGGCCAGGGCCGTGCCCACCCATCAGCCCTTTCCTGAGGCTGCCAGCACCGCAGGGCAGCACGGCCTGCCCCAGAACCTGGTACTCCAGATGCCTGTGTCTGTCCACTCACCGTGGGTCCGCACAGTGGCCCCAAGGTCCCGAGGCAGCAGGGCGGGGGGTGCTGAGTGCTGTCAGCCCTGTGGCCCCAGGGTCTGTTCCCTCATTTCACAGCTGAGGGCCATCAGTCTCCATCTCAGCCCAGGGGAGGGGTGGGCTGTCTGGGGGTCTGCCCAGAGGGTCCTGCTGCTGCTGAGGCTGAGCCGAGCCCCAAAGGTCACCCCTGAGGTGCAGCAGGTAAGGCCTTGTGTCCTGTCTGAAGGTGGAGAAAACCCGGCACTACCTGCTCCTGCGGGAGAAGCTGGAGACCGCCCAGCGGCCTGTCCCGGAGGTGCTGTCCCCGGCCTCCAGCGAGGACTCCGAGTCCCATGGCTCCTCCAGCGCCTCTTCCCCACTCTCAGCTGAGGGCCGCCCCTCGCCCCTGGAGGCTCCCAACGAGAGGCAGCGGGAGCTGGCCGTCAAGGTGGGTCTAGCTGGTGGGCAGCATAGCCGTGGCCGCAGGCCCTGGAGGGCCCTGAGTCATTCCTGGGTAGCTCCAGCAACCCAGCCTTGCCCACGCCTGCCCTGGTTAGTGCCACAGGAGCTGGGAGCAGGATGGGTCCCTAGGGTCCCCGTGCCCGCTGCCTCCACCCCACCTGCACTGAAAGTTGGGTGCCTTTTGCAGCCTCCCTCCAAAGTGATGTTGTGTTCTCTCTTGAATACCTATGCCAATGGGGAGCTCACCACTTCCACCCACAAGCGGCTCTTGTGGGTGGAAGACCGGGCCACCAGAAAGGCCTCCTGCACTGCAGGCAGCTCTGCCTCGGCCCTCACCAGGCCCTGAGCCTGACCCTGGGAGGCTTCCTGGGCTCACCTGATGGCGTGAGAGGGGTGGAGGTGCTGACCGCCTTGACCTGCTTTTTGTCCTCTGGCTTCGGAACTGACCTGTGTCTGGGGCGGGGTGGGCAGAAGAGCCTGCGAGGCTGGCTGGGCAGGTCCTGGGGGGCTGGCCCCTGACCCCTCGCGCTCCGTCCACAGTGCTTGCGCCTGCTAACGCACACGTTCAACAGAGAGTACACGCACAGCCACGTCTGCGTCAGTGCCAGCGAGAGCAAGGTGGGTGCGGAGGGGCTGCCCAGGCCGCCCTGCGGGGCTCGGGTCCCTGCAGCCAGTCGTCCCTGAGGAAAACTCCCATTCTGAGTGTGAAGGGGCAGTTAAGGGTTCCTGGGAACGTGGCTTAGTGCAGAGGGACACAGAGCAGTGCTGATTTCCTGTCGGCCTGGGGTCCCTGGGAGGGGGGGCGTGAGTGAGGGGCTGGGTGGTTCCTGTGGCCTGGTGCACGCCCAGGCACGTGCAGGCTTCTGCTGTCTTCTTGGCCCCCACCCTGTCTGGCTGTCCTCTCTGACCTCTGGCCTGGTCGGTCAAGCCCCAACCTGGCTGTCCCTTCTCCTCCTGGGACCGTCCCCACCGGGTAGCCTGGGAAGTTGCCCCTGTGCCGTGCCATGCCTGGAGATCCTGCCCCAGCCACAGCCTTCCTTGCCCCCATGGCATTGCCCAGCGCCACCTCACACAGCATGGACTGGAGGCAGCAGGGCAGAGCTCACCCAGCACGCTCCTCGAGGAGACGGCAGGGTGGCTGCCTGGCTCAGGCCAGAGCCTGAAATGCTGGAAGGGTCGGCCAGGGGCTGCAGGGGGCCCGGGGTCTTGAGACAGCCGACCTTCAGCATGGCTGCTGCCAGGAGGGTTAGGGTGCCCCAGCCAGCAGGTGCAGGGTGGGCGCAGGGGCCGGAGACCTCCTTCCCTATGTCCCCTGAGAAAGACCTCTTTCTTCTGCAGCTCTCCGAGATGTCTGTCACCTCACTTCGGGACCCACCGATGTCCCCTCTCGGGCCGGCCACTCTCACCCCCTCCTCCACTTGCCCCTCCCTGGTTGAAGGGCGCTACGGTGCCACTGACCTGAGGTGAGTAGGCTCCAGCCTCCCGGAGAGGTTTCCGGCACCACGGCGGACCGTGACAATGGCCGTGACTCCGGGACATGGAGAGAGCAGAAGGGGGCAGCGGCCAAGGGAAGGGCCTGGAGGGGTGGGGTCCGCGGCCCTGTCAGAGGGCGCCTGTGCCCTGCCAGCTCCATCCCCAGTGTGTCTTCTCTTCCCTGAATACCAGAAATGGGTGGGAAATGAGCCACAGCTCCCTTTTCCTGAGCCGTGCTTAGATAGTAACGGAAAGAGAAAGGCTGTAAGGAAGACCCGAGAACCGCCAGGCTCCGTATCTCGAGGGGACACCTGGGCCCTGCAGGGGACCCGGCTCAACTTCTTATGTCCGATTCACAAGCCGGCAGGCGGTTCTCACTCCTGTTTTAAAATGCCTCAAGGTTTCCAGATTTTCATTTAAAAAAGAAGGGAGGCAGCCTCGGCCTGGCCTCCTCATCGGCAGGCCTCCTTGACCACCAGATCGTCACAGGGGCCGGCCCATGTTGGGGGGGGGCGTTGGGGGCAGCGGCACTCTCTGCTCAAATGGCTCCTTGGAACCGTGTGTCACCTTCAGTCTCACTGTGGAGGTGAAGAGATCTGGACTTGCTTTCACAGGGTGGAGGTGGGGGCAGGAGGGCCACTGGGAGGAGGCCGTGGAGCAGGTCACGGTCTCCCTGGCTGGGCCCCTGAGGCTCGTGGGGGACCCTCCCTGCCATGCCCAGCACATCCTGGAATCAGGCACGTGCCTGGCGATCCCGGCGGGTGCTTCCTGGGAGCTCCCACTGTAGGCGGCCTAGCTGGGGAGACCCCGCCAAGCTGCCCTACTGTAGCTCCAAGGAGGGCGAAGCCGGGGGGAGGTGGCTCCAGGCCCAGGGAGGCCTTCGGTATGCAGCCCTTCCCTCTGCTTCCCAGGACCCCACAGCCCTGCTCCCGGCCGGCCAGTCCAGAGCCCGAGCTGCTGCCAGAGGCTGACTCCAAGAAGCTCCCTTCCCCTGCCCAAGCAACAGAGACAGACAAGGAGCCCCCGCGCCTGCTGGTCCCTGACATCCAGGAGATCCGTGTCAGGTGTGTGGGCCTCCCTGGAAAGTGCAGCCAGCCAGCTCTGTGCCGGCCGGGGACAGGCAGGCCACCCCTGACCCCATACTGCGGGCACAGTCCCTCATACTCAGGGTGACAGGCAGGTTGTCTGACCCCGCACACTGGAGGTCCAGGCAGGCTGTCCCTGACCCACAGGCAGGGGCAGCTCCGTGCTGGGAGGCCAGGCAGCCCCCATGACCCTCATGCCTGGGCCGGGAGATGGCACAGAGCACAGGGCGGTGGGTGGGGTCAGAGCCAAGGCCCAGGTAGGGACCTGGTGGTCACGGGGCATGGTGCGACAGCCCTGTAGCCACTTCAGCTTTTTCCTTTAAGTTTTCTTGTTTCGTGGGGAGGAAACTGAGGCCCGGAGCAAGGCTGGTCGCCTGGTCTCTGGCCTGCTGGGTTGCAGTTGTGCCAGGGCGCTTCGATGCCTCGACCGACTTTCTGGCTGGAGAGGTGGATGGTACTTCGGGGGCCCAGCTCTGAGGGGTGGACGGTGAGCGCCCACGTCAGCCGCCACCCCTGCCCAGGGCCCCAGTGAGCAGCTGTCTCTGCCCTCAGCCCCATTGTCTCCAAGAAGGGGTACCTCCACTTCCTGGAGCCGCACACGTCGGGCTGGGCCAGGCGCTTCGTGGTGGTGCGGCGCCCCTACGCCTACATGTACAACAGCGACAAGGACACCGTGGAGCGGTTTGTGCTCAACCTGGCCACCGCCCAGGTGGAGTACAGCGAGGACCAGCAGGCCATGCTCAAGGTGCGGCTGGGCCCGGCTCAGGCCTGGGCACCGGGAACCCCGGCAGGGCAGGAGCTGAGCCACCATCCTCTGCAGCCTGCCTCAGAGCGGGAGGCCCGTCTGCTCACCCCAGGCTCGGGCGACCCGTCCTGTCGCACAGAGGCTGGGCTCAGAGACTCAGCCTCAGGGATCCTCTGCCCTCTCCTGCAGCCTCTGCCTGCCCGAGGGGCACATGGCCCTGGTGACAGCTAGCAGGGATGGGCTCTGGGCAGGGCAAGCATTAGTATTCTCCTGTGTGATGGCTACGCCATGTCCCTTCCTCCTGGAGTCCCCCAAGAAGGGTGGCACCGGGCCTGCAGGAATGGGAGAACAACAGGCCTCACAGGAGCCCTCCTGTCCCCACTCTGCCCAGTCCCTCTGGCTGGAATGGCGCTAGGCAAGCTCAGGAGTCAGAACTCCCTTGGGCCGGCTGGGGAGAAGGCTCTCTGAGCCATCTGGAGGCGGCCACAGTGTCTACAAGGTGGTTTTTGATTCCCTGTGGTGGGGTGGGTGGTGTGAACCCACATCTGGACCAGTAGCCCAGCCGGGGTCCCAGGGACCAGGGGCCATGACTGGCAGGTACATCCCGTGGGGATGCCCAGCAGTGGTGAGTGTGGTCCCGGGACCACTGGCCACACGCAAACGCATCCGGAAGGCCGTCACAGCCCCGCTGTGTCAGCCTTCCCCTCTGCGTCCCCTCCCTGGGACTTTCCCAGGTGGCCCTTCCCTGCCTGCCTGGCCCTGGGGAACAGGAGGGTGGTGTGCTGACCTTGACCACGGGGCCCGGCACCTCCTCACCCGTGGCCCCCTCTGCAGACACCCAACACGTTTGCGGTGTGCACGGAGCACCGTGGCATCCTGCTGCAGGCCGCCAGCGACAAGGACATGCACGACTGGCTCTACGCCTTCAACCCCCTCCTGGCCGGGACCATACGGTAGGGCCTGCCTTCGAGGCCGCCTGGGGAGGCACTGCAGCCAGGGGGAGGGGCGCAGCCTGCCCTTGCTTGTGTGGGCTGGGGACGCCCGTAGAGCTGTTAGTGCGCCCTCTGAGTCATGTCTTCTCGTGGAGTGATAGATCCTGGGTCAGACTCCCAAAACGACATCCTAACCCGGTGGCCCTGGCATGGGGAAACCTCATGCCCGTGGCAGGCTGTGGAAGGAGCCGGTCCCTCCCACACAGAGACGTGCAAAGTGGGGTGCGGTGGGGGATGGGGAGGCTGAGTCCCACAGGCCGGAAGCAGAGATTCAGCCCCTTCTCGGGGTGGTGAGGGAGTCAGAGGGATGGGGCTCGGTGGCTGCCCCTCAGGCTGCCTGCCTGCAGAGGGCCCGGTGGAGACAGCTTGGAGTGTTCCAGGCCTGACCGCGCCGCCTCTCCCGCCTCTCCTGCAGGTCCAAGCTCTCCAGAAGGAGGTCTGCCCAGATGCGGGTCTGAGCTCTCCCGTGACAGCCGGCAGGCTCAGCCTGTCCCACCCTCGTCCCTGTCTGTCCTGTTACCTGCCGCCCTGCCCCTCCCCTGCCAGACAGCCCACGACCGGGTCGACCCCCCAGGGGACACCCACGCCAGGCCCGGGACCCGTGCCACACGACCAGCTGTGCTCCCAGCAGAGGCTGCGAGTGCCGTGTCTTCCTGTAGAAGGTGCTCGGGGTGGAACACGCTGGGAGAGGCTGGGGGGCCGAGGGCACAGGTCACGGGGGTTCTTGCTGCCGTTCTAATATTTTTTTAAGCATAGACAGACTTATAATTCATATACGTTAGTTAGTGACGTTGAAACAGTCCACTTGGAAATTAACTATGAGACTTGTATTTATGAGTATTTATTTCTAATGCCTCCACATAGCCCTATACCATTCAGACGGAACCCCCAACCACCTCCACCCCGTTTGTTCCCGAGTGTGTCTCCTAAGCCTGCTACGGACAGGAGGGCAGGGCAGGGACAGCCACCTTGGAAGGCCTCAGTGACAAACTGGACCAGTGGGGCACCTCCAGGCTGGCACATGGGGGCATTGCCTGGGCCCCCAGCTTCTCCAAACCACACGTGGCCCGGGGAGTGTGTGTGGGAGGGCGGGGGGGTCTTCTGGTGCCAGAAGGGTGAGCAGCATGAAGGCTGGCATGGGTTACTCTGGTGGGAGGTGAGTGCATATCCCTCTGGGCAGCGCCTGAGACATGACTCTAAGGAAAGTTCCAGCAGCTTCCCCCAGGAGAGGGTGCGGGGTGACAGGCGGCTCTGAGATGAGGCGGATGGCACCCAGGCTGTGGAGCTGTGTCCTGGGCAGAGAGCCGGAGGGAGCAGGGTAGGGGTCACCCGCCAGTGTGCAGACCATGGGGCTGGGTGCTGTCCCTGGAGCATTGGGTTCAGATGGCCGGGTTGAGACCAGGATGTCAGGGAAGGTGGGAACTCAGGGTGACGGTCCAGGTGTGAAGCACTGTGGGGCAGCCTCTTCAGCTGCCGTGAGACACAGAGCGAGCTGGAGGTAGCTTCTGGAAGAAATTCTGCCACCTGCGGGTTTCTTACAAAGACGTTCCTCTCTATTCCCAGGGAAGAGAGTTTCTGTGAGTCCCACTGAGAAAATCCCATGGGTTGGGGGTGTCCCTTCGTTCTGGCCCCATTTCGCCCTCTCTGCAGACACCAATGTCCGAGGGCCGCCCAGGACAGGACAGGGCCAGCCCCAAGCTGAGAGTCTGGTCATAGCAGTCATGTCAGAGGCCTGGGAGGTCTTAGGGTCTCCCCAACCACAGCCAGAGGCCAACTTGGTCTCTTCAGCTCAAGGAAAGACAGTAGCCAAGCAGCAAAGCCCCTGTCCCGCCATGGCCCATGGGAGCAGTTAATGGGGTCTGGTGCTCCTGACCTAGGGCCAGGTGTTCTGACCCTGCCCAGCACTTTCAACAGATCCTGCCTCCTGGAGCGGGAGAGACGGTTCTGAGGCCCTTGGCCTCCCAGGCTGTCCCACGTGATCATGATCCCAGGCGTGGGGGAGAGACAGCCAGCCCAGGAATGGGGAGCATGGGCCTTCCGTGCTACAGGGGAGGGCTCTGGCGTGAGGTTTTCCTTTGGGTCCCTTGAGTTCCACCTTGGAGAGCGGGGTGCAGGGCGGGCGGGCTGGGGCGCGCACTGACTGCAGCCTCTATGGCTGCCTGCTGGGGCCAGCCTGGTTGGGAGCTGGGACTGTGGGCTCAGGTGCTGTGTGGTACCTGCGCCCTCGCCCCCTACCTGGAAGGCTCTCCCAGGGGCCGATGGAGGGTTTCTGTGAGTGAGAATCTCGGTTCAGGAAGCCACGCCTGGGAAGGCAGGACCCAGAGCTGTATTTGGAAATCTCCCAGGTGAAGGTTCCCATTCCAGAATAAAATTCAGAAGCCAGGTGGCCTGTACTCCATGGCTGTCCTGTGGAGGCAGTGGGCCGAGATGCAGAGAGCAGGGGCCGAAGAACAGATTCTTGCAGAAGCACCCGCTCTGGTCGCAGGGCCGCCTGGAGGCAGGAAGGAGGGGCAGGGGCAGAACACGCTGGTGTGAGAGGAGTCAGAGCCCCACGGGCCCCAGGCAGGCCAGAGGAGGCACAGGCCCTGCCACGGCCAACTCAGGTCAGCCAGCCTGAGGCCGCGGCCTCCGAAGCATCTGGGCGCCCCCCAGGTCGCAGGTGTCTGAGGCCAGCCAACCTGCAGAGCACCTGCAGCATGGGTGGGGCTGAGGGGAGGAGCTCGGGAGCCGCCTGAATTCAGAAGCCTCCACCACCATGGAGGCTGCCGGGCGTGCCCTCTGACCAGCTGCCGTTTTGGCCTTGACTAGGAGCCTTGACTCCCTCCCTCCAGGCCTGCTCTGGTGAGGGGTGCCAGGGCCCAGAAACCCAGAGCTGATGGTGAGAGTCAGGAAAGCTGGCTTCTTGAAGCGCGCTCTGCCGGAAACCTCCTATGGTCGCGTTAGTGGAGTTCTCTGAACGCCCAGGACTCGGTTTCCACAACTGTGAGGTGGAGGGTTGGCGTGGAGGTGCTCACGGGGTGCGGTGCGGAGGGCACGCCTGCTGCTGCCTGCTGGGTGGGGAAGATGAGGCAGGTCTGGAGAGCCGTCTCCCTCGGAGGGGTTCATTGAGTGCTTTATACTGCTGAGTCTGGGGGCTTGATTTGGTTTGGAGGCAGCCATCCTCCATGGGAAAGGGGAAGCTCCTTCTGCTGAGGCCCCAGATAGAGGGGGATGCCGGGCTCCAGGAAGACCAGCACTGGGGCCTTGCTGAGACCCGACCAGTGCCCAGGCGTGGCAAGTCCAAGGCCTCCTACAGAGAGTCGTCACCGGAACATGCCAGTGTTCCATTCACCAGCCGCACGGGTACAGACCCTCCCCACCCAGGACAGCTGTGGTGAGGTGGCCCCTGTCGCCCCTGGTCCCTGGTGGGGCTGATGTTACAGGTGTTTGCCGTGCCGCTGCACTGGTCCTCTGCCAGCCTCGCCCACGCAGCGACCACAGAAGGCACACTCCCTTACCCCTGGGGCCGGGCCGCTGGGTCCTCCAGAGGGACAGCAGCTGTGGCGACCTGCGTTTCTCCCTGGACCTGGGCTTCCGTAGCTAGTCCATCCCCTGGTTCCCCTGTGGCTGAGGCCGCGTCCCTGGCTTGTACATATGTGATTGCTGTGGGCACACCCCAGACCCCACGTCGTAGCCACCGTCCCCACGTCACAACTCCCGCCCCGATGTCTTATGCCTGAGTGTCAGCCCTCGGCTCCTGTACCGTGTGTGCACTTGATGCTGTGTCCAATTAAAAATAAACGTGGCTCTTACCCAACACCCGCCCGTGGGCTCTGCTGTGGCTTTATTCACGTGTCAGGTGTGTTGGGGGGGCTCAAAACACGGTTGCAGGTGCGAGCATCCAGCGTGGCCCAGAGACAGTGCCCCTCCCCCAGTGATGAGGCAGGGAAGGGCTGGCTCTGGAGATGGGCAGGGGGAGGTGGTGTGAGGGCGTCGAGGACTGAGTGTACACTGGGTGCTGGTCTTGGGAGACCCCACCCCACCTGTCTCCCCCCGTGACCGGCTGCACCCTGTGAACCAGCCCGGGTGCCTCTGCAGGGATACAGTACCTTCCACCCTCATGCCAGGCCACTGCACCCATCCCAGGCAGCCTCTGAGGCCTGAATTCTGCAGAGTGTCCGGCCCATGGGGTCTGTGCTGGGCCAGATCCTCAGAGCCTCCTGGAGTTACAGGCACCAGGCCATTGCACACAGGGGCCTTGGGCTTGACCAAGGCATGGCAGGAGTTTGGGAGCCAGCGTCGCACTGATGGCTGATGGAAGGATGGGGTGACAGCTGTGTACTCCAGGGGACTCCGGGAAGGGCCTCCAGTCCTCAGGAGCCCCCAGGCCCTCCAGAGGTGAGTGGCTTTATGTCACAGGCGACAGCCATCTCCAGGACGTTGAGTGAGTGTGGTGCCCCTCAGTGGGACTGGGACGTGGACCCTGGCCAGCATGGGGACTCCGGGGCTGTGCAGGGTCACCCTCTGGCTGCAGGGGGGGGCTGTGTCGGGGCTGGCATAGATACCATTCCTCCCACGAGGACTCCTGCTTGAGAGGCTTAGTCTTCCAGTCCTGAGATTATAGACTTAGAACTCTGCCCCCTGTGTGAAGGGCACGCACAGCTCCTGAGCTGTTTTGTTTTGTTTTTTTATAACTCCTTGTGAGCCTACCATTATTTCAAAATGAAAAATAAAGAAACCTTTTTTATTCATTGGATTTTCTAGTTTCTCTACAATGAATTTGTGTTACTGTGTCATTCTTTTAAAAAGTAAGAGGCCGGGCACGGTGGCTCATGCCTGTAATCCCAGCACTTTGGGGGGCCGAGGCAGGTGGATCACGAGGTCGGGAGTTTGAGACCAGCCTGACCAACATGATGAAACTTCGTCTCTACTAAAAATACAAAAATTAGCTGGGTATGGTGGTGCACGCCTGTAATCCCAGCTACTCAGGAGGCGGAGGCAGGAGAATTGCCTGAACCTGGGAGGTGGAGGTTGCGGTGAGCCAAGATCGTGCCATTGCACTCCAGCCTGGGCGACAGAGTAAGACTTCATCTCAAAAAAAATAATAATAAATAAGAGTTAGAAGCAAATCAAACGAGAATTCAGTGACTGGGCAGAATCCTAGCGTTAGCATTGGGAAAGCGAGGACGGGCCTGACACAGATCAAGTGATGTTGAAGTTTTCTGTTTCTTAAAACAATAAATGAAACTAACGGAATTAACCTTAACCCACAAGTGGCTGTGCCTTCCAGTGCTAAGGAGAAGCCTGCCACCACCTCTGCTTCCACCTGACCTTGTTCCTGGGGCCCCAGGGGTGACGTGTGTCGTCTGAAGGTTCTGGAAGACCAGGGAGTGGAACTGGGAGTGTGGGCTGAGTGGCGCTGGGCTTCCGAAGCTGGCTCCCTCCAGCAGCGGTGTGGCCGGGTTCTGGGACCTGGGACCACTCTGTGTCCCAGTGCTAAGCTGTGCACGGTCGTCCTGTGTCCTGTGGGGTCCGGCTCACCCTCCCCAGCTGCACCCTCTCCTGGCTGGGCTGGTCTTTCTGGCCACACTGGTGCCTCAGCGCAGCCCTGGCTGGGGGTTCTCCGAGGCCCAGGAACCATTCAGACCCTTTGGATGCCTGCAAGTCTCTGCTCCCATCTAGTAAGTGGCACGGTGACTCAACGCGGACAGACTCACGTCTAACTGCAGTGCTGGCTTCTGCACTGGGGGTGGCCCTTTAGGGGTCTACACCGGATGTGTAGAGGGTAAAAAAGCCTGGAAGCCCCGGCCTTGGGGAGAGGGTCTACACCTGCGCAGACAGCCAG